ACTCAACGATATATTATTTAATACACATAAATTGTATTTCATCACTTACGTCATATAATCCACCACTTGTATACTGTCGATTAATCATAATTTATTTCGGTGAATAATAATAATTATTATTATTATTATTTCTACACGGTACCTACGTCATGAAATAATATTTGTTATCAATTTAACTCGATATCTACCTACTTTATACGGTTTAATATTACTATAATGCCTAATACAAATAGGTATGCAAAGACTATACTCTACAGAGACTTGAATGAAATCGTATAATATGCATCATAATATGGGTTAAACGCGTTTACATTAGTCGCGTTTGAACTTTATCGCTTTCAAATTATTAGGAATACGATGATTTGTTTAAGGTAGGTAGTTACTGCCAAAAGTTATGAATTTAGTTTATAACGACGACGACGTGTGGGATTTTAAAGCCGTTATCTCTTTGATAGATTTGAGCGAAATATCTCAATTCGTATGAATTCGCGGACCAAATGTCTTTAATATCGTCCAGACGAAAACTCAAAGCGCATAATAAATATACGCGTAATATATGTTAAGTAGACTAACATATTATTATTATTTAGCATGACGTAATAATTATACGTATGGCCTATTTTTGGGTATAATATAAATCTTCTGAATGATTTTAAACGGTTTTTGTCATTAATGAACTCGATGTCAGTAAATTTATTTTTCAACCAATATAGCCTCAGAAATAGACATCGAAGAAGTTGTACAATGGGCGACTTCAAAACCATTTTACTGGTTTATCGTCGATTTTAATTCCTATTATTCGTTCTATGTGTTGAGTAAGAAAATAGCGAAAATAGGAAATTTATGAACGAGCGGACGGAACTATATTGATTCGTATTGCCCGAAAGGGTTGGAGCCATTCCAGTCTGTTTAATTTGCGATTCAACTGTCGCTGTTATTCAAAGCGGAAATTTCAAACGGCATTATCATTTTGATACTGCTATTTTTCAAATATAAAGATTTGAAAAAGATTTTCTTCGCTGGACCACATTGATTTATTGTTTTAATCCTTAGGACTCCGATAGAAATTACTTGCCGACCTCTGATTTGATGTAGGTATACGTCTATTTATAGTGTTCTCTCATATTGTCTTGGTAAAAATATTGATGCTTATAAACCTAAACATCACTATCGTACAAGATTAGAGGGTGGAGTAGACCTTAATACACCGGTCAATAAGAAATTGTTTGGTGAAATAAAATATTTCTTGTACATATATTATGTCAGTCTCTCGAGAAGATTGAGTCTTGACGTATCTATACTTGTTATATGGTAAGAAAATATTTTTAAACTATGTTAATAGTTTAGATTTAAACAATTTCAATGAACCTATAGGTCACACTGAACTCTTGACATTTAGTAATATATTTATTATTTAATTTTCGGATCGCATGTATTTTTTAATACGTACTGTTTTAAATTATGTTTTAATTTATATTGTATAACTGTTTTGTTAGCTCGCTGCTACCTTTCACAAGCTTGCTTTTGGTACAGCCTCATCAAAATACCTATTATTGTGTATTGTGCGATTGAATATTGCGTGGCGTGTACCTGCCCGCAAGTAATTGATGATGATTCAATGAGCTGGAACTTCACCAATGTCACAATAATTCACATTTAACAAACCAACAAACACAAGATGAACAAGACTGACTAAAAATATACTGTAGGTAAACCGTTTCGGTTTCCCCGCGTAAGTTCGCATCACATTATTATTATTATTATTATTATTATTATTTTTTTTTTTTTAATCGATCAATTTCCTTGGACGACGTTAAAGGTTATCATTTTAGAGCGGGGTGCGTTTGAGTTTTTTTTTTTTTACAAATTTTTTATAATTTTTTTTTTTTTTTTTAATATATTATAATTACTAAATTAGTTTATACGACATTATAAATCCGATTTCTTTAAAAAAAATGTATGGTTTCGTGGTTTATTCCCGTCTGTAGCCCTAGCCCCCGGGATTTTGAATATAGGTGTTCTGGTAAATTGTATTCTTTCCTTACATTATTATTAGTGTTTGGATTAGGCGTTCGCGCGTGTTTCGTGGGCTCATCGCGTGTGCATAGATTATAATAAATGATATACAATACGCAAATTATTATTTATTGTATAATATATAGACACGCCGCGGGTGCGTAAATGTTTGGTGTACACTCATGTCATATTCTCACAAAATATATAGCTATACCGTACAGGTACATCGTTCGTGCATTTATATATATATGTATAATGCACATACACTGTTTTTTTTTTTTTGTAAACGGCAAAAATTTCCCGAGAAGAACGGAAAAACGACAAGGCGCACCTGGGGTATTTGACGCCGTGGTTACGATAAAATATATCGGCCGTCATGATATTTTTTTAAGTATACGTACGACGGACGCACTTCTCATGTGGGCGGGGGGGGGGGGGGGGGNGGGGGTAGGTAAATAAAATATTTTGCTCGTACAACACGGTGTTTCCGCGTATTACATTATTATATACTATTATTATTCATCGAGCGTTTACAACGTAAAGTATGTTCACACGAAAAATACGATATATACATACACCTACCGTGTAACTGTAAAATTATTAATGCGATGCACTTGCACGTCGTATATATATATATACACACAGACATTATATGCTGTCGAAGGGACTCGGAAATAATCGTATTCATCGCGTCCCCGATTCGATAAGACAGATTCTAAACGTATACACTAATTCACGCGTCTGTTTATTTATTTGACACTTTGTTTGCTGGCATAAAAACATTTTAAATTAAATTCGCGACAAAATTTAGTACGCTATCATAGGTGTTTTTCCATCACTGCACTATACCCGAAACGACGATATTATTGTCTATGAGACCCCGTCGATTTTCTCTGAAAGAGGAAAAATATCTGCAGGTATAGTATTATGTCACACTGCAGATTAAAACATATATTATACAAACTGCATTTTTTTTTTGCACATTTGTGCGCGCACAATATATCTACAAAACGACTACTATTTATCACTCGTGTTCATATTATAAATTGTGCCGGTATACACGAAAAATATGATTTATTTTAATATAAGTGTAATAAGAGATACCCCGCGGGCCGCACTAGAATAGCACAACGCGAAACATTATAAACTAACTTTATATTATTATGCTTTTAAAGAGATTTTTAGGAATGGTCACACACGCCCGTTTGGATATGTATAACAGATTCTGAACATATTTCACCTAACCTATTCACATTTTTTTAAAAATATTATTTTCTTGTCGTGATCAATATTTCGTGTGATCGCGGACCGAGCAGACGTATTATGCCTATACATAATGATCATTTTTGGTGACCTGTGCGAATCCTTCAAATTTATTCATGTTGTGAAATAATATCAATCCTCGCATTGGATATTATGTAGTCTGCACCTTCGGCTAAACGTCGTATTCTCGTATGAATTACGTTGTTGCGATTGCTGTGAGGTCCGTCGCATTAATATGGGTAGCACCCCAACTTGCAAAAAAAAAAAACGAATTTTGCACGTTTAGGGCGGTGTAAACGTTTTTATTTTGCTATTGCAATTCACTTTAAGGCTGTTGGTAATATTATTTAAGTCGGAGATGATACAGACGTTACATATCGAAGATGGCACCCCATTATAGGTATGTATAGCGTCAGCAAATTAGCGATTTGCTCCCTCTTGCAAAAACAAATAGTTTCGGAGGTTTTGAGACGGTGTACTCGTTTTTATTTTGCGATCATTTAAGGGATGAAATAACATTTTTTTTTTTTTGGTGGGGGACATTTTTGTGAAACCTATATTTTATATTGTGTGTGTGTAATAATATTAATAAGAAAGATATGATAAAACCCTAGATATGCAGCCGCTACACTATCTAATTTATTGGACACGTTAATGCGCACATTATACCTATCGACCGTCGAAAGTCTATACCTATATAATTATATCACTAAAAATTACAGTGGCACAAAAACTATTCGCCCGTATTTCATTTTTTATCTTATTTGATTTGAATTCGGTCTGTAGATAATAAAAATAGGTATTGACGTTCATTTCCTGCAGTGCATCGGTGACATTCTATACGTAAAAACAAAAAAAAATGTTTAATGAGTTGCAAGACGCGCACTCGTACGAAAAACAGTATAACACGTACATGCATGTAGGTAATTGATATTACAGTCGACTCTCGGTAACTCGAACCTCGATAACTTCGAAATTCTTGATATCTCGAATAAATAAAATTCCCCTTCAAATAACAATAACGCTTAATGTTTAATAAATAATCTTGTTAATTAATTTGACAAGTTTTTGATATCTCGAATTTTCTTATCCAAATTTAGTACTAAAAATAGTTTATCAAGGCGATTATTTTTCGTAAGACCCGACCGTAATTCAACCATAGAACAATTTAAATCTTGATAACTTTGATACAATCAGTTTTAGTTCTGCCGTCTGTTCGTTCGTTTAATCGTTTATCGTGTGAGTGTGAAAGTGTAATCAGCGGTTATTATGGCTCAAAAAAGAAAATTAACAACATTATCACACTTGCAGAAAAAGTGAATTTGCTTTAAATTACTGAAAAAGGCGAAAAAAAAAACAAGACATAGCCAAAGATTTTGGAATTCCGGCGAGTACATTATCTACAATAATAAAAAATAAAGATCTAATTTTAAAAACCTCTAACGAAAAGTTTTTGATAACTCGAAATTTTTAGTAAGTCGAATTTTTTTTTTCCCCCTTGAACTTCGCGTTACCTAGAGTCGACTGTATTATTATTATTATTATTCGCAATCAAATGAAGCTGCGTGCGTGCGCCGGCCGAACCGAGTGAAAAGTACCCACACACACACACACTCGCATATCGCTGTGTTGTAGGGTGCGCTCCGAGTGCGTGAGTCGCCGTTGGGTTTCTTCGGGGGGGGGGGGGGGCGTAGGCGTCTAGGGGTGGGTATATAAGCCGGAGACTTTGCGGGTGTTGGCCATCACTTTTGACTCTCGACTTTCCGCGGTCACACCACGTCATTTCGGCACGCTGCGACCACTCTGCACAGCCGAAACCTTATAGCGTAGTAATATCGTTATTTCATCGCAATAACACATATTTCATCGTACCGGAGAGTCCAGAGAACTCCTCGTCCACGACCTCCTCCGCGCACAAGACATCGTACATTGCGTATAATATCGTACCCCGACCGTTTCCGGATCGCCGCACAGACGATCACTGCAGCGAATAACGATATAATATTTTCATATATATATATATTATTACATCGGTCCCGTCGCCACGTCGTCTCCCGTCGCCACCATGCGCACCCTGTTGCTGTTGGCCGTGTTCATGTTGTGCGCTTGCATCGCAGTCGGCCAGGTGAACTTCACGCCGACGTGGGGCCAGGGCAAGAGGAACGCGCCCGCTTCGGACGAGTGCAAGTCCATGGACACGCTCATCTACATCTACAAGCTGGTGCAGGTAAACAAAGTTTTTCGTTCGTTCCCGCCTCCCCCCCCCCCATTTTTTTCCGCACTCGGATGCCGTACTGCACGTATTGTGTCCCATCTCTATACCCATACACACTGATCGAACGACTTCATTATTTTCCCGGTTAATAATAATTATTATTCTCAGTGCGCCGTATATATACCAGGGGTGACCAACATTTTTTTGATTAAGATCTACTGAGCGTATACATCGTGTTCCTCTGAGGATCGCCCGACGTAAGAAAAAATCGTTTTTGTATTTTTAAGTCTGCATCGCTGCGACATTCGCAATAAACGTACTCGTATAAAAACAATACAATATTATAAAGTGTAGGTCAAGTGTAACGTTTTTTGAACACGAGTGTCCGCCATTCAATTTCCGTAAACAATTTCAAAACAAATGGACGTTATGCCCGGGCAGTCGGCGTAGACAGTATAATATAGAAGTGTGCCATTGCATATCGTTGCCCAGCAGTTAATATTACAGTGGACGCCACTATTATAATACTCACTTTGGGACCAGCATAAAGTGAGTCTTATAACCGAATGAATCTTATAGGCGAAGTGGGAAAAAAATTAATTACACATCTAAGGATTTTATTTTATTACATATTTTTCTTTAATTTTAATATTCTAATACATATTACATATGACATACGTAATATTGAATAAATTAAAAGAATTCTGATAAAAAATTTAAATTACAATACATGTAAAAAAATGATTATATGCATTAATAAAAATTATAAAAGATGTATGTATAATGTACGTATTTATTATTTATGAAAAAAATTGTGATTTTGTTTTTTTTTTTAGTTATAAACTAATATTCCGGAAATATATTGGAAAATGTGAAAGAGATACAATTTGTTGTAGGCACATGCACACATAATAAAGCAAAAAACATTAATTTATTTCTAAATTTTGACCAAAAATGTTTATTTTTTACCATTTTTTTTTTTACAAAATTTGAGTCCTATAAACGAATCGTTGAGTCTTATAACCGAATTTTTTATAACGTATTTGGACCGTTTCAGACAATTTTGAGTCGAATAAGCGACTGAACCTTATATCCGCGAGTCTTATAAGCGGTGTCCACTGTATATTATAAACTGGGGAACGGTCGCTAATTGCTGTTCTACACGAAGGCGCCGCTCTGAATTATCGTTGGAAAAATGTAGTTCGGTGTTATACCTATGACTTGCGAGAGGAAAAAAAAATGTCATTTCACGCGAACGGGGTCACCCGAAATATATGTGCAGTGTAACTATGTGTCCGCTAAACAGTATATAATATATAGTATACAATAATAATTGGTCTGGACGAGTAGAAAAATAATATCGACTCCGAAGTCGTCCGAACCCAACCGTTTGGGGCCGCCCCCGCTGTACTATATTATAATAGCATATAGAATACTGTCCCGTCTGCGGCTTAAACACGCCGTCCTGACATAATAATAATAATACCGAAAACGGTATAATAAATCAGACGACTCCTGCAAGTGCATTATAATATGTGTTATTATTTATATTTTCCCGGAACCTGCGAGAAAAATGCGTTTGTTTTCGTTGACTCGCGACGTATGTGTGGGTGCATTTTATTTTATTCCATCGCGTCGGGTACTGTCATTTAATTGTTACGCTCAAACGTTTCGGAAAAAAATTAATGTTTCGCTGTTTTCCAATATTCCGCGTGTCACTATATCTTTCAGCGTACACAATATACACACATATATATGTGTGTGTGTGTGTGTGTGTGTGTGTGTGTATCGGTGCTGCTATTTTTCTCGTAAAGTCTCACAAATGAGCGCCAATGAAAAGTAATAGTTCAAAATTGAATGTTACTGCGCGATATTATTTTTCGCCGTTTGAATCAGACGCAAAACGTATATTATTTTGTTTCGATTTCATATTGAATAATATTATTATACTACTGCACGACTACACGAAACAGAAAAATGTCATGAAGTCGTGCGTACGCGATAACAATTTTTGTTCGATGTTTCTTTTGATGCATCGCTCGAGAGTGATGGTTGCGATTCTATAGCAGCCGAGAGCCCTGATATAGCGAATTCGAATCATTAATTCAACGAAATATTATGATGTGCCATATAAATACGTCACAACAATAATATGGCCGTCTGACAAGGAGTGTCCGTCACATTTCACTACATGTCCAATGCCCGTAAACGATTTATTATAAAATAAAAATGCCGTCCTGCCCCGAATAAGTCGCCACGAAAAAAAAATGAACCCGCTCACCACTCATCCGCAGACCGCCGAACGGGCGGGAGCACGTTCACGTTTCTACACCTTACTGCGGCTCGTATCCGAAAATTAAATATTAATTAAATATTATGTGCGCTAATTATTGTGCACGGACGGTCGGTCTGAAATAACGGGTTGCCAAACAAAAATGATAATTTAATTAATGACATGTCTGGATAAACGTAATCTGACGCATGACTGACAAATTTCGAAAGATATTATATGTATATTGCCTGTGCGTAGTATCGCCGGAATTTTTTCACGTTAATTATATCGTTGGCTCCACTAAAACAAACAATCGACGTCCAGGCCGCTTGGCCCTCAGACATTAACATAATTTTTTAATCCGTGACTTAAGACTTTTTCGGCAGACGCTGATATTTATCTGAATGTTAATTATTATCATTTTTGATGTAAGATAAATTATAATATGATGAAGTAATTAAGCCAAATAAAACACCGGCCCGACATTATCGGAATTGCGTGCACAAACGAGTATTCCTCTAAAAATCAAATCGTTTTAGTCTTCTAAATTTCGTTTTGGGTACATTACATTATAAATTCTTACCTTTGCCATTCGATCGATTGAAACTATTCGCTGCAAACGTCTAGTACGATTCTGTTTCGACAGAACAGTCGAGAAAAGCGAAGATGGTAAAAAAAATATTTTTTTAGAATGCTGAAAAACACCGGTTGAAAGAAAACCGTTTGACGATTATTAATTCACGGCAATTATTATATTACATATTTCCATATTATTTTACGAACTCGGCTGATTCGCATACAAGCGTATATAGGATGAGATCGCATCTTTTGTGCGCACTAAATACCTACTTGTTAGACATTTATGCACTTTTTTTTTTTTGTGGTTGCGATAATATTTATTTGTTTACGATCTACTCGCGGTACTAAAATTTCGTTTGTTTTTCTTTTTCATTTCCACAGAACGAAGCGCAGCGGATTGCGATGTGCGAACGCATGTCCATCACGTCTTGAACAACCACCGGTTGCGAGAGATGACCGCCACCATTACACCGTACGCCAGCCATAGATGAATAACAACACGGGACTATACCTTATACCACGACACTCTGCCAGCTGCAGTGTTACATTTTTACTTTTAGCCACATCACTAAGATGGTCATAATTATAATAAAATAAAACACAATAACATTATTAATGACGATTATATAAAAAATTCAACCGTTTGCAGTTATTATTACATCCACAGAACTATTATAATATAATATTATTACCTATAAACCGCTGTGTTGTTTATTTCCCATATGTTTTAGACGATATTTTAGTTTTCTTGTTAATAATTTATTCGAAAAAATGCATTGCTTTCACTATTAAAAAAAAAAAAAACCACCACATTCATTACACGCCGTTATTCGTTTGTACATTTTATGTGTTTATTCGCTACTCTGGTAATTTTGAACAGCAACAATACATGTTGACAAAATATTTGTAATTGGTATTCAATGAAGTACAAGAACAGTGAACAAGTCAATCGTCGTATTATAACAACTGTTATAGTTAAATGGATTTCTTGCAGGTCGCAATAAGTAATAAGTACACTTATGTCGGTAAGCCACGTTTATTTTTAAGGTATCCCGAGAGTTCAATTTTAAAAAAATCCAGCAAATGGGTAATGCTCGGTTGTACATTAGATGTCAAGAGGAGTCACTGTAATGGATTTGTTTTTTTTTTGCAATTCGATGATAAAAAATCATTGTACACGAAAAAACATTCTCTGAGTGAATACGGTCTGTCAGCCTATAACTATACCGTCTCACAAAGGAACAACATAGGAAAAACTGTTTTGCGCGGGACAACTTTTATCTTTCTGTGTTTGTAAGTAGTGACTCCAAAATTTCTGAACATATCGAGTAGAAAATTATCTATGCAACAGCTTGCCTATATTTTAGATAACATAAATACAATAAAAGTTATTTGCTTCTAAACATTTTGTTTTTTTGTTCTTTTCATTTGCTTATAAAAAACGATTGGAAAGTGTAATCAAAAAAAAAAAAAAAGCACGCTGTTGCACAGATAAAGTTCTTCTTTACGTGTTGTGAAAATTTGGTAATTCTACAGCAAATATGGTGCGAGAAAAGTTGTCCCGCGCTAAACAGTTTTTGCTATGTTGTACATTTGTAAGACGGAGACAGCACATGCGGGTATGGCGTCATCTTAAATATTTTATGATATTATTGTGATTGGAGTAATATATTGTAGTCTACAGTACTATAGACTACACTGTAGCTTAAATTTATTTTTGTTAACAAAAAGGCATTTGGAAATGTCATTGTCTGTATAAAATAAAATAGTATACTTTAAAAGTTTCTAGTACCTACTCAGTACCCGCGAATAATATTTTTAAATTACAACAAATTAACTAAAATTGTTACACTTCATTTAAATACATAATTTCGTCAAAATTTGGACTTAAAATATATATGAACTATGAACTATTAATGAGAATCCTTGTTTTAAATTTTAAATCCTTAGCACTAATAAGTAATAATTGACATTTTTTTAACTATAAAATAATTTGCATGTTGAGTTTGATGAATTTTGTTAAAATTCCAACATAAGAAGCTCATAACAAATTACTGAGGATTTAAACTCAATATTTTTTTTTAATTTCCACTAACAACTATTTATGAGAAACCTTGTACCTATTAAATTTTTTAATTTTTTGACTGAGCAAAAAAATTTTTATCGACAATAATTTTAAAAAACTAATAAAAATCTAAATTTTCTTATGCCTTTAAATAGTTCGAAAATCCATAATAAACATTAGGCAAAATGGTCATGAATCTACTGATATTTTTTTAGAGTTCCACCAAAACACAAAATCGATTTTTTCAAAAAATCTCAGTTTTTTCTGAATTGCTTATTTTGTTTTTCCAGACGCTTTTAAAAACTGCTGAGAATTTTTTACTTTTGAGTTTTGACCCGACCTCCCCACCACCCTTCACAAACAAAACTACCAACTAAATTCACTTTCCCATCAGTAAAGATGCTGAAATAGAATATCGAAGCATATTTACAGCCCCAAAAGGTGGACTGACCCCCCCAAAAAAAAGCAATATTGTAAAATCATTGTATTTATCACTGTGTTCAGACGCTAACATTTCAAAAAGTGTAATATAAAAATTCGTTGAACATTTTTCGCACCAATAAATATAATTTGTTTTTTTTTTTTTTGTGGAAAAATTCCACTGTCAAATAATGTTCTAAAATTTAAAAAAAAAACAAAAGTTAAAGGTGATATAAAATCAGTTGGAAACATATAAATCAGTGGAAAACACGTTTTCCATTTAAGTTTTTATGTGGGAAGAAAAAGCGAATTCCCTAAGAATATGGAAATGCTTCAAAACAATATCAGCCCGCCATTAAAATTATGATGAACACTGAGAGCTTGATGCTCACACTGCAGTACTTCAAGCATTATTAACATCGTGTTTGATGTAAATGGTATTACCATCGAAACGATTTTTGGTCACAGAGGATGGTCCGCACGACCGCACGTATAATATACAACTATAAGGCAATTATTATTCCATTATAATTTAAATTAGTCGTCATTGTTTTAATGAACGAAATGCAATGTGGACTTAACGATTATAGCTCATTTCGTCAATAACGTCGAAGTAACAATATTTCAATGACATTGTTTTGTGCCGCGATTTGATTTGTTTCTAATTTCGATATAAAATTATTGGTCGAAAAATTGAAATGTGTTCGGTATAAGTACATACATTCGTTTCACAAAATTGCGAGTCTCTGGCGGTTTCACAGAACCGACGTTAATTCCGTAAAAACCCGATTCGTTGACATTTTTTCTGAAAATCAATCGAGGCGAATTCGAAACACGATTTTAAAGTATGCGAGTTGTAGTTTATTACTTTGGTATGATTAAACAAAATGTCAACACGATTTGAAAATTGTCATCTTACGCAGAAATGACAAACCAGCAACCGGCGAAAGTCTCACAGTTTTTTTGTGTCTACGGAACCTCCTTCTGGAGAAAAATTGACTACCTGCTGACTATTATAGAACCAACGAGGGTGTCTACTGTAATACAGTGAAAACTGTCTAGAGCGGACCCCGAATAATACGGAAAACTATCCAATACGGAATTTTTCCATGGTCCCGGCACGTTCATATAGTCTTATATAGGCGCTCGACCTCAATAAAAAGGGCACGTTCGTAACGCGGAACCGGAACGATTTCGTAAGTCCCGTGCAAGTAAGTAGCCTCGCATAAACCGGAAAAACGACACTTGCGCGTCAAATCTAAACCAAAAATAAGGTATGAAATATAGATGTGCCGATGTGCGTGTGTACAATATGTGCATCGTTGAATGGTGATCGACAAAGAAGACAGAATCGATCCATAGGTACATATTCGTACAATATATTATGTGCATTGTGCGCACAGTGCATTCTCGCATTATTATATTATATTGTATTATCGCGTCTTAAACGATACGAAATTTTTTCTTTGTCACTGTGCAACAACGGTCGTACGTACACTTTTAATTTTATTTCATCTCTCGTTCATCGCATTCAATATTAAAATGCCAAAATGTGAGTGTCTTTCGTTAAATGAAAAATATCAACTAAACGATGCACAAATAAGGTCTCAATCAGTTAAACATTTACAAAATATATTTAATCGTGGAAAAACTCGGGTTTACGATACTCTTAAAAATCAAAATAGAATTAAAGAACAATGGTGGTTAAAAGGTTATTTTAGTTTAAATTTAATGAACTATAAAACCTATACTTTAGTTTAATTTTAATGAATTACATTATTTAAAACAATAATATTTAAAAAATATTCTTTGGTATGCATTTGAATTGAATAATCCGGATTTTTTCCATTTTATTGAATACAGCGGAAAACTGCTTAAAGTGGAATTTTTTGTTGGTCCCATGCGATTCGGCTTTAGACAATTTTTCTCTGTATGTATTTTTCTAAGCGGTAAAAATTAGAGTAATTTCTAGATACGTCGCGGGGAGGGGGGGGGGGGTAATACAACAAGCCTCACGGAAAAAGTAAAATCAAACCAATTCAGCAATAAAATACAATACAGATAAACGAGATCCGCCTGTAGTAGAAAAATCGGATTTCGATCAGTTGTTTATTTATTTTTTTTTTAAGAGAAAACTATATTTGGAGCGCATTGGACTGCTGCAAATTTTCAATCATTATGAGTGAAAATAATCACACATTTTTGACTATTAAACGCTAATCGTTCCTGCAACTTTTGAAAATAGAGTATTGCAAGCTGCAGGAGTCAAAGTCATCTTCATCTTATATCTGACTAGTTGACGAGGTGGGAGAATATTTCTTACGAGGCAAGTTTTTCTACTAAGCGCTTTAACTTTTGACTTATTTTTTCCCCCGCAGTCTCCTATACCTTCGATAAAAGTATACTATTCTAGTTCTGAAATCCACGAGTTTTCCAATAACAGAATAAGGAATAAGATACATGGCGAAAAATGCCGTTGTCTCATCAGTTTTGAGAATAACATTATACGTCCATAAACTTTGGCTTTGGCTGAGTTATTCTGCAATGAGGTTTGTATGAAACGATCAGCAACCGTTAGTTATTGCTATTTATTTTGTTCGTACCGATGATATTGAAGTCGACACCTACAAATTCGGATATAACATTAAGAAGTTGTTTAGCCTCTTGTCAGCAATGTTTAGTATGAATGGAAATCAACACAATATAAAAGAGTTTGGCGGAGTCGATGGCCGACGCAGTCGATAAGTTTTTGCGGGTAAAAAGGTAATTTCGGCGGAATATAGTATATACATATACGATTAATATTATATATATATATGAATATATACGCTACAACAATTATCTAGATACTAGATGAGATGATAAATATTTAAAATGTTTATAATGCTTCAGACGGTGTGTGATTTCGCTTCAGGGGTCAGGGTAGGGGGGGGGGGCTGCACATAATTTGTCGTACAAGACCATATATATGGGAAAGGCTTAACTAGCATATTATGCCGTATGGTAAATAATGCATTTTAGACTTTAGCTACATTCGCGGTCAGGACCCGTGTAATAATATTATGCGCATAGAATACACTGAAACTTTCTAAATTCTAA